TTTTACGAGTCCTTTTTTATTATAGTATTTTAGATAACTTATTTTTTTCCTAATATACTACTAAAATATCACTAGTAGTTTACGAGAAATAAATTATAAAATAATTAAGTACACCCTGATAATAAATTCTGATGCAAAACTAATTTTTCTTGGTATCAAATATCACTAATATTTTAAAAAATATAAATTATGTAACGAATAATAATAAATGCACCTTGATAACAGTTTTCATTTAAAATGCAAATATTATTCGGTTTCTTTTTCGACCTATGAGTATGCCGAGCCCTTTAGAGCTTTAGAGTCCTTTATTATCTTTAATATGGAAATTGCTTAAAACTATGTGCAAATAGCAAACATTATGCAATTTGCTTGAGAATATTAAGTGCTAAATATTTTTGCTAGCAAACCACTTAAAACTCAGGAAGCTCTACATAACAAATTATTATAATTTTATTGCAACACTTAAAATAAGGTTCAAAAGTAGAGTTAATTATATCAGAAACTTTGTTACTATTATTTGATGTTTTATTTGTTTACAATTTCGAACTATAAAATTTATTTATATGTGCTCTGGTACGCTATAAATACAATATATACAATTATTTTATTTTTTCAAGTTAGCATGAATACTAAAAAAATACATGACGATATCAATAAATACGCACGAATGAATGTTATAATTTTGAATAAATTTCGCACATGTATTTTGCATATTATATTTCTCGTGCTTTACTGTTTTCATTAAAAATATATCACACTTTTTATTACAATACATCATGCACGACATTTTAAATTAATTGCAACGCCACAAAACAAACATAAGCTTTTTGGTTGACACAATGACTGCTTTGTTATTCAGCGCATTTTTCATATTATAAATTTGCTTTATAGGCAAATTAGTTAATTATATATTTATGTAATGAACCCAAAATAATTAAAATATATTATGCATTAAAAATGATTTTATTCACAAAACTGACACTGTATCAACTTGATCGAAATCCATGCAAAATCATTTTAAATTAAAAACTGAAAGCTGCAATTTGAGCTCATAGTTGCCCAACTACCTATTTATTATATTTAATGTATTGGTCTATGAAATTGTTAATTAATGGATATAGTCATTCAAATAATGTTTAAATTTCTATTTATGCATGTACACATGACATACTGGACGATATCGAGTTTAAAACATTCTAAATTGTTTACTCTTTATATTTGTATTATATTTATAGAAAAATAAGTGGAAATCAATAATTTATCATGCAAAAGTTTTATTATTTTAGGCTATGAATACGGCTCAATCCATTTAGTTGATACTATTATCAAACCTAGGTTTTAGTGAAAGGAAAGTGAAAGGAAAGTTGCAAGAAATTGGCAAGATGTGTAAATTCTTTAAGAAATCCGATTTAATTTTAAAAGTTACTGCAAATTTTCAATAGTTTGACGCACTATTTATAATTTTCTTGAAATTCATAACTTTTCGTAAAGTTGCAATAATGTTTAGGATATTTAAATAGATTATACAAAGCTTCATTAAGATTATAAAAAAAAAATCAACAACAATTTTTTAAAAAACTAAGCCGATCTTTATAAAAAACTAAACATTTAATTTTCCGCCTAAAATATTTAGAAGTTTCTGAATTTTCAAAATCGGTTCAAGATTTTGGGAAATTCTCTCATATAAAAATGGCACTTTTCTGTAAATTATTAACAAACTGCTTGACTAATAGTTTAGCAAAACCTAAATAACCTACAAAATTTTAAATTCGGTGTAGCCATTTTTGAGAAAACTTTAACAAAAGTCAAATTTTTTGCTTCCACACAAAAACTTATTCCAATATTGGTGTCAAACAATTCAGATCGACTTAAAAAGTCAAGAAAATATTAAATTAGTACATAGAATTATTTTCTGGCATGCACTTAAACTTGCAAGAAGTAGATAAACCAATATGAAAATAATTACAATCCTAATGTCTGAATAGAATTATGCCATGATTCTCGATTAAATAATTAAAATATCATTTGTCAAAAAGAAAAAATATACTTGAAAATATTGATTTGGAATTAAAGTCGACATAGAATTTTTGATAATCTCACTACTTCTACGATTCATATTATTATTTTTCAACCTTAATAGATATTTACCAACATATTATATGTGTATAGTAAATTTCATAAACTGTAACAAATTTTTCTATCTCATATTTTCATCAACAGATGTGTTGTGTGAAAATTCTTCTATTACCTATCAAATAAAATCCTTTGACTATATTAAAGCATTTCATTACGTTTCTTTTCTGCATTGCTTGAACATCGCATTTCTGCAATAAATTACAATTTGATCAATTTATCCAGACGACATTGGCAAAGTATTTTTAAATTGCATTATATAAATTGTATCTTCTTCTTGATTCTACATGATTAAATATTTGAATACCGATTAATTATCAGGATGTTATTGTAAAGTGCAAAATGCATCTTGAGTCTAAAATTATGAATATAAAAATATATATTTTGTAACTCAAGAACTACTATAGTATATCAAACAAATGCAAAACTAATGATTTTTTGAAAAATGATATAGGCGTGTACCGTCGTTGATAATAATCATTAGCGACGTGAAATAGCGTAGTTATACATTGAAATGGTATCTTTTTGTCATTTGCGTACCAAGGGTAATTTTTCTAGTGTTTTTTTGAATAATGAGTAGTGAACACGGCCAAATTAAAGGGCACACAGATATGGGGAGTTTGTGACTAAAACCAGGCTAATATCTACTCGAACTCTAATGACCCTTAAAAGCAATAATATATGCTACAAAAAAAAAAATAATAAAATAAGTTATTATTAAACTTGAACTTTTCACCCTTTCGCTAACGATTAATCACTTTGAGTTGAAGTATTGAGAAAACTAGTGTTTTGTTATAATTTCTAGTTGATTATATGCGTAATTTTTTAAAACATTTTATTGATAATTATAGAAATATTTTTAAAAATGCCTGTCTGCCTGTCTGAAAACAGATAGAAAGATCTTGGTTTATGATTCGAACAGAAAAGTCCTATTGTACTAAAATATTGTATTTACCTTAATTTTGCTGCATATCCTTTTTAGATGTCTTTAATGTATTAACATATAATAAAATTATGGATTTTTTTAAGATATTCGTTGCTAAAGTTTTTGAAAAACCATCTAACCCTCCAGCTGAGGTACTTTTTGGGGTACTTTTGAACATATTGGCATATCTTAGAAATAATGGATGTATGTGTGTGTGTACAATGTATGTGCGGATACAATTTTTCATCGATGATTTTGAGAATACGGATCTACCAATTTGAATCATTCCAAAAACGCTCGATTCTTATTGATAAGGAAACATACTGATTAGTTTTTGGCTAAGACAGGTTCGTACTAAAGATACGGGGCAAAAAGTGCCAAAAATAGCAATTCAATTTTTGAGAGAACGGAGTGTCCAATTTCAATGATTCAAAAAGCATTTTATTTGCATTGACGCAATGAACAAGTGATTTAAATTTGGGAAGACAAGTCCTGCGAAAAACGTAAAAAAAAGATATTTGGCGGTCAAAAATGATTACAAGACAAATATTAGACATATGCATATCAAATTATCAGACATTTTATAAAGATTTAAAAAATGAGTACTATTTTCTACATTTTTATAATATAAGTTAACTAATGTGATTCAAACAAATTTCAAAATATTCAAAAAAATTTTTTTCAAAATTTCCTAAATTTACTATACACAGAATTATATTTGGTTTAGGAATGTACATATTTCATATGCGTTATGTGTTATTCTTAGAAATATAATGAATATCCTCAGATGTATTCATTCGGCATCTCATGTTAATCTAAACATTCTTAAGTGCGTTTTGTGCGATGACAGCGTCACTGTATAGTATACTATAGTATATAAACAAAGAAATATATAGTAATTATAATGATCTCTTTGAACAATTGTTATTAATTATTGATCAATAATTATTAACTTCCTGTAGTGCAAGTTATGTAATCGCAAAAAAATCGAAAATGTAAATTTTTATATATCTTTACGTTTCAAAGGTTTCTGAATATTTTGGCATACTTTGCGTGCGTGTGTGTGTGCGGATACAAATTTTTGTCGACGATTTTGGGAATACCGATCAACCGACTTGAATAATTAAAAAAACATTCGATTTGTATTGATAGGAAGACGTGCTGATTAGTTTTTGGCGAAGGCAAGTCTAGCCGTTTCAGAAATACGAGGCAAAAAATGCCAAAAATGGTAACTCAGTTTTTAAGAAAACGGAGCGCACGATTTTAATAATTCAAAAGACATTTACTTGTATTGAGAAGATAAAGAATTGATCAAATTTTCATGAAGGCAGGTCTAGCGGTTTCGGAGATCTAATAAAAAAAGTTAAAAAAAATGCCATTTGGCAGTCAAAAATGATCATTAAACATATGCACATCAAATTATCAGATATTTTATAGAGATTTTAACAAGTATAAATTTTATTTACATTCCTATGGGTTCCGTACCAATGCTTATTTACATTCCTATGGCTTCCGTACGAAGCGTTACGCGCTTCGATATTTCGTCTCTATCTACAATTAAAGCAGTACGACCGCTTAGAAAAAAAGTTCAGAATTTCCAAAATATTTCAAAATAATTTTTTCTTCAAAAAGTCTTTTTTTTTTAAAAAAAAGTAAATTATTGTCAAAAATTTATAATTTCTCAAAAATCTAATTTTTTCAGAGTATTTTTTTTTTCAAAAATGTTAATCTTTTTAAAAAATAATAATTTTTGATACGGGAAGTTTCAGCAATTTGCTTTAAGGCACGATGCCATGCACCACTAGTTTATATTTCCACCGACCCTCTGTCTATGAAAGAACCGCGATATAGATCAGCGACGAGTCCGTTTCCCTCGGTTTAGCAAATCGCCGTCCGTTAGTCGATTCGAACGCGCGCTTGCATTATCGGTATCGGCCGCCCAGAGAGCCCAAAGTGCCCAGAAAGTGCCCAAATCGCGATGTCGAATATCACGTTCGGGGGCGTGCAGCCCGGCGTCGTGCTCTTCCTGATCTTACAGATAATTCTGATTTTATTGTTCGGCTTGTTTGTGGATTACCACCCCAGCGCACTGCCGGAGAAAAATGGAGCTCCCAAGGAGGCCGATCACCATGGGAATCAGATGGACAGCTATGCCAGTGAGTATATGAGATCAGATGAGATAAGATTTGGGGTTTGGGGATGATGTTTCAGTATTGTTATTATTGGTGTTCTGTACAGAAACGTACTTAATATGAGAGCACAGTATTTCTTTGCCCTTTACCGTTGTATATATATATAGTTAACTTTTATACATATGTTTCCATGCGTCTCCATGCCTTTGTTTGCACTTTACTAGTGCAAGGATTAAGGTAGTTTTTTTTTACCCAAAAACATACGTAAGTAATTCTAGAAGTTATATATAGTTAACTTTTATGCATTTTACTTAACATCCGTTTCTACGCGTCTCTATGCCCTAGTTTACATCTTGCTAGTACAAAAATTTAGGTCGTCTTTTTTACCCCAAACATACGTAAGTAATTCTAGATGTTATAAATAGTTAACGTTTATACATTTCACTTGACATCAAAAATACCCTTGTTTATACCTTGCCAATACAAAAAAATGATGGTATTCTTTTCCCCAAATACACATAAGCAATTTTAAAAATTTATATGAAGAACTGTTAACTGTTAATTATATATAATAGCTATCAGTTGCAATTGGTTCAATTTGCACCAAATATTGTTTGATATTAAAGACATTTTAAAATAAACTATTATATATCTTCATGTGATCCACACCGTCATCAGAACACATATGAACACGCGAATTATGATTTTTTTTTTAGAAAAGTAATGTGTTTCATCATAAACGCTTAAAGTATGTTGTGTGTTATACTTAGATAAATGTATTGTAATATATTATAACTTATCTTAGGAATGAAATTATTTTAGTACTGTAACACATGTACCTTCTTCTGCGCCATAAGTCAACAAAAATGCAAATAACTTGAATCTAAATTTCAATACAAATCTAAAGAAACTGATAAATATAATTATAAACCATCAAACGTTTGATAATATCAATAAACAGTTAAAATAATATTTTTTTGAGCTTTAAACTTTTAGAACCAATGTAAAACGTTACTCAAAAACGTGAATCGTTAAACCATTTTAATATTCAAACCACAGTTTGCGTTTACGTCTTATAATTATGATTAATAATACTATTATATGATTCATGTCGTGTATTTTAACACTTTATCATATGAATAATATCATGTAGAAAAGCATAGCATTTTTACCTCTTTACCATTGATTATTATAGATCATTTTTGTACATTTTACTCAACATACTTCTTAATTACTCAACATAGTCCTACATTTTATAAATTTTACTGAAATTTTCCAATTTATTGTAATGAATAACATACATTTTACTTAACATCAATGCCCTTGTTTATATCTTGCCTATGCAGAAATTTAGGTGGCTTTTTTAGACCAAACACACGTAAGCAATTCTAGAAGTTATATTGAAAAAACTGTTAACTGTTAAGTTATATATAAAATCAGTGTCATTGTCCAATTTGCACCGAATATTATTTGGTATAAATATCTTTTCATTCCATACTATTATAGATCTTCACTTGATCCATACCGTAATGTCCGTAATCAGAACATATATGAACTCTCATTAAAAATCGGGGCTTTTTTATAAAAGTTTTTAAATTTTTATCACAAATAATTCGCATATTGTGTATTGTATATTATATATTATAAAATATTAAATTAAATAATAACTTATCTTAAGTTAAGATTGCAGTAGGTACAGTACTCATGTATCACCTCTGTGCATTTTGCCTAATTTTTCGTTTCTAAAGAAACTAAACTACAATCACTTCGATAATAATGAAAGGACCATTAAAATAATGGTTTTTGAGCTTTTAATTTTTAAGTACTATTTGAAATTATAAATAAATCCATGAAAATTAAATGAATTTTAGGTCTTAACACCATAGTATAGTTTAGCATTGTTTCATAATTATTTTCAATAACATATGTCGTTTATAAGCAAATATTCGTATGAACTAATTTCGTATTATTGAAGTAAAATTCACAAATATTTTAATACATCACATATATAACTAGTATACTATATACATACAGTAGTAATACTACTTTTATAATACTGAATAGTTAACAAATTAATTATATATTAACTTTTCTTCATTAATACGAAATAATTTCATAAGGATAATACCTATATAAACAATCTTTTTTATAAATCAATAACAAATTGTTCATTAAAAGTAATCATTAATTCTCCCTATTCACACCAAAATTTTTTTTGTTGATTTGTTATGAAATAATTAATACCCACGATCATTACGATAATAAGATAAAACAACTATGTTATTCTATACTCCAATCTACAAAATATTTTAATTCGCGATTGAAATTAAAATTTAAATTATTAATTTTAATTAATGATTTTATACACACAAAATATTTGCTGAAAATATTTACTTCTGCTAAATTATTAATTGTATCATAATAAATATGAATTTAAATATCATTTTGTAAAATATTTATATTTTTCATAAATTTTTCTGTGAGAGCTTTGATTTAGATAATGTTTGGATTTCAAACACTGAACTTAAATTTATAAAAGATTAATTGATTACAGCATCTTCTAAATATACTTACAATATTTTCTAAAATAATAAATGAGAAAAGTGTTGTTATTATTAAAGCAAATTTCCTAAGATATTCAATAGTAATAATTTTTTGTGAATTGAAAATTTCAATAAGAATATTAATAATTAAAATAGAGAATATAGAATTAGATTAAAATTTTGACAAACGTATTATATTAGTTTTCGTTAGAATGAAGCACCCAACACTTCTTTTTTTAATTTGCCTATTTATACGAGTATATATAGAAACTCTTATTATTTAGAGCTTTACCCGAGATAACCCTATTTAAGTAAAATATTTGGTAAATTTTATTTACATAATAAAAGAACAATATTTTTTTCTGAATTAACTTAAAAGAACATTAAAACTGATATTTCGCAAAAAAACTTTATAAGTTACAATATAAAGGTATATAAAAATAATATTATAGTAAAAATAAATATGTACCTAGAAAAAACACATTTTATGTCTTATAAAAAATAAATTTATTAATATATTATTGTCTATGTAATTAACGCATTAAGTGTGAATTAGAGTAATGATGTTTCGGCTGAAATATGAGATATTAATATTTAATGTAATTTCATTTATTATTTATTATGTCTGGAAGTCGTGGGGACAATTTTTATTTTATTATGCTGCTTCATAAATTGTAATTTTTTAGATCGATATATAAATTCTGAAATCACAAATTTTAGAAAAGATATGTATTTCATAAATACCAAAATTGTATCTGATTTATAATGCTCAATTTAGTCATAACTGAAAATGAGAAATTAATAAAAGCTTCATGGAATAATTATATTTATTAATATATTTTCAGTTAATAAAATTGACTGAAAATTACTTTAATAAATTTTTACTAAATTTCCTTCATTCACTGTATATACGTAGGTACACAATTATTTATAATGAACATTTCACTGAGCAGAATGAATAAATTCAAATGTATTTTACCAACATTCCTATAAATTAATTCATATTAGTAAACCTTTGGTTAAAAATCAGCATTATTTTTATAACTAATGTACATAACATGATAAATTTTAAAATTTCACCAGGTTTTCCTGTATACTTACACATCTTCATACAGCATTTAATTCAAAGATTTTATTACAACATTTTAATGATCCATAAAACGCTACGACGCATAATAACAAACTTAATTAAACAACGCGTGGCCGCGATATATTTTTAGAAGAAAAACAAATATTACCTTAAATATACCTAATTTTGATAAAAACATATCAAATAATTTTAAAAAATACTAAAAAATTATATGAAAATAATTACGAATAATTAATTAATAATTAATAATTTTTTGACTTATTATAACTTGCCCTACGGGAAGTTAATTAACATATTAAATTTTATATATAACAATTATTAGCTATGCTTGATATAGTTAGAGTAGGAACGGAACTTTACTTTAGAGATGATTCGATATATTATAATAAAAAAGGGATGCTAGTAATAAAACCAAGAATCAATTTTATTTCTGGGAAACTCGTCGAACCATAGAATCTTTTTATGGGAAAACTTGCAATCAATAGAATATACTCAAATAAAGAATTTCGCTATGAAAAGAAATGACTGAAATCCAAGAAAAGCTCGGAGTTAGTTTTCAGCTGCTTTCAGCAAAATTTGATTTTAAAAAATAATGATCATTTTTATATAGTAGTAGTTATTTTCTTTACAATCGAACCTTATGCGACAAAAGAAGGAATTGTTTTTTATTATTTTCGAATCAGTTCTGAGTTTTATATAGGGTAGGGCGGGCACAAAGGTCAAATTTGGCTTCAAGTAAAATTGGTCATGTGTCTTTTTTAACCCATAGACGTATAGTTCTAATATCTTATTTTTAATTTTTGAGGGATTTTACAAAATTATAGCTACATTCTTCAACCAATGAAAAATATAAATTTCTAGGATACATTTTTTACAAAGATAACACTGAACCTTGATCTGGTATTTTGTCAGAAATATTTATCAGAAGAGTTGGAAAGCCTGTTCATTTAATTTATCTCTTATCAAACTGCTTTTTTAACTTAACTTACTTTTTTTATTTACTATTTTATATAGTTTACATCTACGCCAGGGTAAAATTTCAGTTGTTCATTTTTACTCCACTAACATGTATGCTTTTATAAATGTTATATAAAAAACTGTTAAATCTAACTCAAAAATAACAATGCATCATATAAAACAATTAAACAACAAAAAATTAAAATTATATTAAGGTCTCGTAAACTAAACAACAGTGCTCACAACGAAAACAAATAACAAGGAAGGTAAATACTTTTGTTATAAATTTTCAGACATGCCGTTTATCACCTGACCGCGACGTTTTAAGAATCAACGAGATGGCTGGTTATTCATTTTTTGTCCTCTACTTTCAAATATAGTTGTTAAAAAATTCCTAACTCTACTTATATTTGAAATAATGGTGGTGGGCCTTT